CCCTGCTCCAGCCCAGCGGCAGACACAGGAGGGGAAGCTGGCTTCAGCCACCACAAAAGCCGAGGAGGGGCGTCCGCACTGTGAAAGGAGAAGGGCCACTGCGGGGTTGGGAGAGCTCCCGTCCCCTGGGCCGGAGGAGGGAGCCCACACCTGAGACGGTGGCCTTGCCCCGTGTGGGAATCCCTGGCTGTGCCCTGAGTGATGAGGAGCCGTCTGACGGCCAGCTGCAGGAATAGCATCTCCAGCGGACACTTCCGCCTGCCTCTCGGGCCTCTTCTCTCCCCAGAGACTGGTGATGTTCACTGTACACGTCCCAGCGCCACCCTGGAGAGGTCCCTGTCTCCTCACCCCTGTCCCCTCTCCCCTCACCCCTCACCCCTCATCCCTTATCCCTCACCCCTTACCCCTGCCTCTCCTTTAGCGCCGCCAAATGGCCAGCCCAGAGGTGCCGCGATGGGAGGGGCCGGGGTAATGAACTCCCATTGGCTTCCTCACAAGATCACTGTCTTAATTTACGAGGCCTGAGTGAGTCTCATTTCCCCAGTGCGCGCTGAGTAATTAACTATTAATAAAAGCATTACTGAGTTAACCACGGGGGCATGTTTAATTCATGGGGCAGCCCTGCCACACGACCGAGGCGCTGGCTCAGGGGGGATTCCTCCCGGAGCAGAATAGGGCCTGCGGATGCCGCCCCTGCCGCCCCTGGGCCCCGTGCCACCGCGGGGGACACTCTTTATGCCCCTCACCAGAGAAGCCAATCCCAGGAGGGTGCGGAGACCTGGCGTCCCAAACAGCCATGTGGGGGCACCGGGGTGCGGGTGGGTTGGGGCTGAGCCCTGGGGAGGGATCCGGCTGCTCTTGGGAGCTAGTGAGTGAGTGACCTTGGGAAGTTGTCTAGAGACTCCTGTATGTCATCTGGAAGTGGGCCAGGGTGGGCTGCGGGAGTGAGTCGGTGCTGTTTACTGGTGTGTTGTGACCTTTAAGACCTGCCACTCCCCCACCAATAGGCATGGGCCATCGGTGAGTGTTGGGGGTGGGGCTGGAGGAGATACCTGCTTGCTTGAGAGGAAGTTGGGGAACATTCCTATCAGGATTCCTCCTGAGGGACCTGGTGGCTTGCTCCCTCCTCTTACCCAGATGAACTAACTCCTATGTACAGTACCCAACACACCATCCTCGTGCCTCGATTTCCCCGCTCTTCCCCCCCCCCCCCCCCCCGCCTGGTATGCTTTATCCTTACGTCTGCTTGGCAATGCTCATTCAGTCTTCCACTCAGTCCAAAATAGGCCGCTCCTCCTGAAAACCTTTGCTCCTGCCCCAGGCAGAACTGGCTTCTCCACACAAGCTCTGCATCTGTGTCTCCCAATAATTCTATGATGACATCCATCCACCCATCCACTCACCGTCCATCCACCCGTCGTCTATAATGAGCACCTATAGTGTGGTTTTTAAGTTGTGGGTGGTTTTTAAGTTGTGGGTGAGTCTGGCTTTCCCTCGACCAGTGGTTCTTAATCTTTTAGGGGTCAAAGGCACTCTTCCCCCCCAAAATGCACATATGCATGTGCATGTCAGATACGGGTTTTATCCTTCTTCAGGGACCCCTGGCCATCCCTGACGCCGGCCGTGGTCCTGGGTGTGTGGAGGCTGTGATGAGCTCTCAGACGCCCTCTGACAATGAGGGTGGTTCCCCTGCTGCAGGGCTGGGAGTCAGCCCTCAGCGGTCGGCCTCCTTTGGAAATTCTCATTGGAAACAAACAGCCTCAGCCACAGCCACACCTCCTTCCGGGGCAGGTCCACTTCCAGCGACAGATCAGTCTGGGCAGGCGAAGGCCGCAGTCCCTCACCCACCCCTTGGGCTGGCTCAGCTCCAGGGCCCTTTGTGGGGACTCAACTTCTCCCACTCCTCAAACCTGCGTCCTTCTACGCCCTTACATGTGTGCCTCCCAAGACCGTTTCCTAAATAACACCTTCCACCCTGATCTCCCGAGTCTGCTTCCGAGGGAATGGACAGGGTTAAAAGGTCCCGCAGAAGCTCCCTGAAGACAAGGGCAGCATCTGATGACTCCTCTGTTTCTGGCTCACATGGGGCAGAGCGTGTGGGCCTTGAGGTCCGAAAGGTTGGTCACCGCTACTCTGGAATTTATCAAATGCACTGCATTGCACTTCCCCCCGGTTCTCTCTCTGTTCCTCTGTCGTCCCAGCAGGAGAGTTCTCATCAGACTTCCTGGAGAAAGCACAGCCCCGCCAGCAGGATGCCAGCAGAACAAGGCTGTGGGTCTGTTCTTGGGGAAGGCGCTAGTTGCCAACGAAACTGCAGCTATAGTCATGGGACCAGAAGTCAAGCTAGCTGGGCACTACAGAGCAGGCCACGGGGCCTGATTCATGTCAGGGAGAAGGAGAGGGGATGGCCACTGGGAGTTTCCTATTTCCCTCGGAATGGAGCAGAAACAGATGGAGGTGGTGCCCTGAGCCCTCACAGCAGGGGAAGGTTCCAGAAGGAAGATGAAGGCATTCCGGGCCCTGCCTGCCATCGCAAGTTTGTCCCTTAGGCGGGCGAGCTCCAGCTCGTTCTCATCCCCACCACGACTTCGGCTGCGGACATCCTCATATATTGGGGGCAATAACCTTCTTTCCGCGGTAGGCTCCCGGGAGAGACGATGGGCATGTAAGCACTTAAAACTGGAACCTGCAGGTCAGCCCACACTCCCTCCTCCCTCCTCTGCAGAAGCCCTGGAGCTGCAGGCTTCTCGGGGACAGACAGCACAGCCTTGGAGAGACAAGTCACAGCCTGAGCTTCCTGAGACCTGTGCAAGCACCGAGTTACCATGGCAACGATGCAGCCCTGCGATGCAAGGGCTGCAGACAGCATGGGTGCTGCTAGGGCTCCAAGTGGAGAATGGACAGGTCTGGCCTGGGAGGCCAGGCGATGGGGCTGGCAGGGGGAAGGGGGCAGGGGGAGGAGCCCCTCCTCTAGGATCAGCTGGTAATTGCTGCTAAGTGAGGGGCTGTCATTGAACCTAACATGCAGGCGGCACTGGCCTCTGCTCTGCACCCTGTAATTACTGCACCAGACAGCAGCCTTCGCTCCCTGGGTGGGACGAGGGGGCGGTGGGAGGAGGGGCAGGCAGGAAGCTCTCGTCCACCTGAGCCAGGGGATCCTGGCAGGCCCTCCTGCAGCCCAAGTGTCCTGTATCCCAAGCAGCCTCCCAAGCAGAGGCAGGGCTGAGGGGGCCCTGACCCCTCCTTTTTGCGAGCTCGCCCATCATCTCGTGGAACACGAGCTTCCTTTAATCCTGAGCTTGCAGAATCCAGGGGAGCAGAAGTGCAGGAACCAGATAAGGCACCTCAGCGAGCCCTTCCTGTCATACCTCCCCGGTACGGGAGAATTCTGTGCGGCGAAGCTCAACGTGAGCTTGGAGGCTCTGAGGACCTCAGACTAGTCACAGCACCCACCCCCTGCCTCCATGGACTGGGAGGAGGCGGGACTCAACAATTCTCAAGGCTCTTTCAGCAGGAGGGGTTGGCAAACTGCAGCCAACACGCCGAGTCCTATTCCTATAAATAAGGCTTCACTGGAACACAGCCTGCCCGTGTGTGGTTGGATCTGTCCATGGCGGCTGTCCTGCTGCATCGGCAGACTTGAGAGGCTGCAACAGAGACCAGATGGTCCCCAAATGGGAAATATTTACTATCTGGCCCTCTTAAAAAAGTTTGCCAGCCCTATTCCTCAAACACTAACGTTCTCCTAGGCTTAAAAGGGGCTTTCGTGGCTCCAACCTATCAGAACAGCTCATAACAGTCTCCTCCATGCCCCCCAACAGACACCCATACCTCCTGCCTGGGCTTGGGTGGTGGTGGTAGTTCCCCCAATTCTGGGAATCACCTCGTGGTGCGATGGCGCCACCTGCTGTGAATGCCTACAAGCTCTTGTGCTTGGGAGGGTGACCCGTGGCCAGAGTCCCTCTCAATGCAGGGGAACCGGCTCCCAGGAGCAGGCCAGGCCTCAGAACCAGAGCACATCAGAGCTGGGGCTTGTCTCCTCCCTCCCCACTTGACAGACAGCGACTCGTCCAGGGTAGGCGACGGGAAGGCCCAGAGGCCCATCCCCCCATCCACGTGTTTCAGGGACAAACACTGGGCACACACACCTGATGCTGTGACCCGTAGGTCGGCCACTCATTTAGGGTCTTGGATCCATGGTTGTTGAAAGGATTCTCAAAATAAACACTAATATAATATTTAAACTGATTCCAACCTTCAGAACCACTCTGAGACACTTATTACCCCCACTGCAGATAAGTTAAATAATTTGGTTAGTAAGTAACGGGTGCTAAGCGACAGTCAGGATTCAGATCCTGGCTGTGAAAAGCTTTAAGGTCCCCAGAACATGGTGCTCAGCGCACATTCCCTCTCCTGCCTGCAGGTGTGCTCGGGCTCCCGAGAGGGCACTGGGCTCAAGCAGGACACGTGACAGGAAGACCTGGAGTCTGGCCAGTCACCTGCGAGGCCCCAGGCAGAGAAAGCAGGAGCCAGGCTGACTGCCCCTCCCTGCCCCCACGTGTCCAGGCAACACGAAGTGACCAGTGGACTGTAAACCCTTTATTTCCGAACTATAAATAGACCGGCTCTCTGAGCTGAGAGCTGTCCGGGGGAGAAGCCCCCAGCTCTCCATCTCCCCCCAGCTGCTCTGCAGTCCAGGCCCAGGCCCCTGAGACAGCCGTGACGCCTCTGAAATCATGATCTTGGCAGCCGGAGCCTGGCAAGCAGCTGAGCACAGCCCTCCGCTCCTCAGCTGTGACTCCGGCACAGCGTGAGGCCTGTTCTGCCTGGTGCTCCCGTTTGACCAGCTCTCCACGGGTCCCGTGCTCCCCGAGGCGCAGCGCGGACACTGTGGGCCCACGGCTCCCAGCTGCTGCGAGAGGCCACCTGGTCCCTGAGCTGCCGTCAGGATGAAGGCTGGGAGCGGCCTGCTTCCAAGATGCTCCCCTGGCTGGTCGCTGCTATCCCTGGGCCACTAACTCCTCCTCCTCTGCCGCCTCGTTCTCCCCTTCCTCTGGCTGGCTGCTCCGGAGCAGCAGCTCCAGGTCGGGGTTGGAGCCCAGCCCCTTCGAGGGTTTAGGGTCGCCATCACCTGGGGATGAAGAGAGACCAGTTACAGCCCCAATCAGCTCCTTGTGTCCTAAGTGAGTGTGTGCTCAGTCACCGGGCCTCCTCCCCAGCTCCCTGGAGATGACTCCTGTCTCCTTGGAGTGGCCGTGGCACAGCCACCAGCATGCCCAGCAGAGAGGCAGCAACCGCAGAGGCGGCCGAATGGTGCAGATTGGAACTACTTGGGAAAGCCGAGGCCCCTTGCCTCTTCCCGGGAGGAAATCAGAGGGGCTGAAGTCGTGGGGAGAAAGTCATGAATGCGGGCGTAGGAGAGGGATTCGGTTACCTCTGGAGTGCATGGCTTTGAGGGCGACATGCAGGGATATTCCCGAGAGGCAGAGGGCGAAGCCCAGCCAGTTCAGGAGGCTGATCTGATCGCCCAGCAGATGACCTGCCAACAGCAACGTGCAGACTTCCTGCGGGCAGAGAAGCAGGAAGGGGAGGTGATGGGTGGGATGAGTGGGCCTTTGCAAAGAGGGCCAGGCACTAAGCAGGACCACAGGGTGGCCGGCCTGCGGGGCAGAGAGGAAGCTCCCGGGGCCTGGGGTAATGCTTCCTCCTTGGTGTTACTGAGGACACACAGGAGGTGCCTTCACAGAATTGCCAGGATAAAAGAGACAAACGGAAAGCTGCTGTGTCCACAGGAACAAAGGAGAGCCCTCCGGAAGGCGGAGGTGGGGAGCCCTCAGCTGCTGGGGGAAGATTGCGATGTCATACAGGGCTCTGTGGGACATGCACTGGTTAGGGCTTCTTCCTGTACAACGGCCGCCAATGGCACTGTGCAATGACTCATTCTGAGAACCACGGCTCAGGCCTCATCATTTGGTTGGCAATCGGAAAACCCCTGGGGAGTCCCCGTTTCTGCTTTTAGGCAGCAGACTCCCTCAGCTCCAAGGAAGGAGTGAGACCCGTGGTGTAGGGAAGAGGGAAGTGACGAGAGGAAAGGCAAGAGGGCTGCCAGGGAGAGGTAAAGGCAGGCTAGGCCAGCACAGGGCACTGATTAACTGTCCCTGGCTATGCCCATGGCAGACATCACCAATCAATCACAGAACTTGATACTGATGAGTCTGAGTGGGGGCTTCTCAATCCATGGCTCCCTGCTGCTGCCAAAGGACCAAGTTGGCATTCCTTGTGAAAGGTAAACGCGTCCCTAGCCTAGTGGAGTTGGACCTGGCTCTGCACCCCGGCTCGGCCACTGGCTGTGTTTTCTGGGGTTGGAGCAGCTCATGTCTCAAGATCGTCCCCCCCTCACAGGGCTGCGGTGAGGGTAGGGGATACAGGTGAGAGCATGGCACTTAGCACCCTAACGAGGCACTTCCCTGTCTTCTCCATAGGCCCTGGGGTGCAGGAGCGGCTGGCTCCTCTCTGAGACTGGACGGGGGTCACCTCTGAATCTGTACCTTAAAAATGCCGGCAATGGAGAGAGTAAGGCTGGAGGTTCTGGAGACCAGGAGGAACTCGGAGAAACCCAAGCCAAAGGCAAGAATCCCGCCGAGGAAGAGGCTCCCGAGCACCCGCAGGAGCAGCCCTGTGTCCTGGAAACGGAAGATTTTCTCAGAGGTGGACAAATGGAGACCTGGAAGCAATGGGAGACAGGGGGCCATGACCTGGTGTGCCTGCCAGGCGGCCTTACCTCCCGCAGCCACAGCCGGTGAGAACGGCCCCTGTCGCAGGGCATCCTTCCTATCCCCGCTGACTGTCCCGGGCCCCGCGACAAGGAGGGAGGAGCTCACACAGATGGCCCGAGACGCGGGGACACCAGGAAGCGGGACGGCAGCCCTAGAGCCCAGGGAGTGGCACTCAGTATAGGGACAGCGGCACCACAGGGACAACCCCCTGCTCTTCCACGTGGCGTTCCCTCCCATCTGCGGCCAGAGCTGTGAGGGCGGTGCCTTCCCATGGCCTCGGCAGCTGTGATAACCAATGGGCCCAAGAGAGGTGCGGCAGGCACCAGTGAGGACTCTCAACCCCAGGCAGCGGGAGGGGGAGGCCGCGGGGGCGTCCTCGGTTCTCCGTGTCAGGGGGCCCCTTAGACAGCGGCAAAACCTGTCTAAACCCAGGCCCGGCTACTACACAGCTGTGGGAACCGGCCGAGACACGCCCCACTTCGGGAGCAGTTTCCCCTCTAATAAAACAAACCGGCTGGGACTAGACGCATGTTTCTCAAACAGATGGTATAATCTGATGAACAGTTCTCAAAATAAACACACACACACACACACACACACACACAGAGCATATAAACACTCGACAAAAGCCCCGCCCCCCCGCTCCAGGACACCCACACAGGCATCCCGGGGGCGAATTAGGCTCTCAGAGGGCTCCGGACGCTCCACACTATCCGTCTGAGAGGAAAGGCCCTGCAGGAAAGGCCCCTGCGAGTATTCACAGGATGAGAGGTGAGCCCAGACTAGGCACAAAGGACACTCCTGCAGGGGCAGGAGGCTGGCTGAGGACTCTGAGACTTTGGAGGGAAGAACAATAGAAACAGAGTGACAGACCCCCCCGCCCCCCCCCCAGACCCACAAACAGCCTCCGATGTAGGACATCGTGCCTGTGCTGGGCTCAGCAGTACTGCAGAGGCATGGCAAATGGAAGGGGCTTGGGGAAAGGAACATAAGTAATGAAGGCGCTTGGGGGATTAATTTACCAGAAAAGATTAAAGGAGCTAAATCCATGCAGCTTTGCTAAGTGACGACCAGGGCCTTTCGGGGCTTTTGGGGGAGGGCTGGCAGAGATGGGGAGCGGTGCAGACACCCAGGGCGGAGGGAGCGTGAGGCGTTTTTCCCGGGGACACAATGGAAGAGATTTTAAAAAGAGGGGAAAAATGAGGCTGCAGACAGAAGTTTCCTGGACAACGGGGCCACATGTAATTTCCTCTGAGGTCCGAGCCGCTTCACTGCTTGCCGCTTAAATGGAAGCGGGTCAGAATTTCCTGTAATGACCCTGAGGACAGAAGGGACTCTGGGAGGAAGGATAAACAGACGGGGGACAGAGCCTAATCCCACAACATCAGAGGAAGGAGGGTGCTGTGCACCTCCCAGCCTGGATGATCCTCCCCGCTCCCTCCTCTCTGGGAGAGGACAGGGGAAGGGAACTGCTCACCTGCCCAGGCTCCCTGTACCCCCGGCCCCCCAGTACACACTCCTGCAATCAGCACACACTCCATTCCTCGGGACCTACTGTTTCCACTTCCTGGGGTGCTCCCCCCGGTCCCCCATCAGCCTGTCCAGGTCCCATCCATCTTCCCAGATACACCGTCTGGGAAGCTTTCCCGCCCTCCCACCCTGGGACAAAGCATGACCTCTCCTCCTAAGAGGCGGACACAGGGGATGGCTAAGAGGAGGGACTCCGAGCCGGTTCCTAGATCCGAGTTCAGGCTCCTTTATGAGGCAAGGTTGTCTCTGCTCCTCTCTGCCTCGGTTTCTTTCACCTGCACGTTGAGGACTCACAGCACTGCCCCCTGGGGTTTGGGGAGCATTAAAGAGGTGATGTGCGTACAACGATTAGAACAGCCCTGGCCTAGCTCTGGAGCTGGACACGCTCACTGTCATTATCGCCTACCATGCTTCCTACATTTCCATGTGACGTTTATCCTGCTGGACTCTAGCTGTCTGGTCTAAGTGTCTGTTTGGACACTCAAACCGGGCACTGCCCGGGCACAGTGCCGGGCTGAGAGGGGGCTGGGGGCCGCTGTACTGACGTGCCCCAAGGTGGCCAGCCCAACCTACCTTCAAACACGGCAAAGAGAGGGAAGAGCCCGAGAAACATGAGTGGCTGCAGGTGGAACATGGTGTCGATGGGGTTCTGGAGCCCTACAGAATGGGGACACGGTGAGCCGCCAGCCTGGCCACCTGCCTCCCTGTCCCCCAGGACCCCCCTCCCCCTCCTGCCCCCCCGTGCTGGGCCCCGCTCTCACCAAGATCCGCCTTCTGCAGGAGGATCTGCGTGAGGGTCCAGCGAATGCCGCCGATGAACGAGGCGCCCAGCACCAAGGCGAAGCCCTCCATGTTGAACTGCGTGGACTTATAGGTGAACATGAAGAGGCCCCCGGCGATGAGGAGGACCACCAGGACCAGTGCCGCCCTCTGCGGGGGGGGGGGGGAGCAGGCGGAGGTCACTGGGGAGTCTCCGGTCACCCCACCTGGAGTTTGGGGGCCGGCAGCCAGTGTGGCCGGCTCTTCTCTCCCCACCCAGCACCCTGGAAGGCCCTGGTCAGCTTCTTCCCATGGAGTGTGCAGGGCTGCATCCAGCTGGCTCGTCCGCAACACTCCTGCCCCCCTTGGCCTCTGCCCTCCTTCCTGCCACACCGCGTTCTAAGCTGCTCAGGGGTGCCCAATACTGGGTCCTTCCTCAGCGTCAGGAGCCTCTGGCCCCGGGCTGGGCTTGTCTCCTCTGTCCCAGTGAGGAGCCGCTGCTCAGCCCCCCCAGCCCCATGCTTACCACCCGAAGGGGTAGGAGGGACTAAAGGGTGTTGGGGCCTCACCAGCTCCTCCAGCTTGAAGATCAGCGAGAAGATCAAGATGAAGAGGACGGCTGAGGATTTGGTCATGGTGTACCTGGAAGCGAAAGTGGCCACAGTGCACAGCTGGAACCAGGGCTCAGACCCACCATCCAAAACGGACCACACAGTGGTCAGTGGGCCGGAAAGGGGTGGGGGGGCTTCCTGACTTCCCCGAGGGCCACGGGCTCTGCTCAGGGCGGCAGGACAATCTGGGTACAAAAGACCAGAGGAAGGTGCCCGAGTCCCTCTAACGGAAGGAATCTCCGAGAGGCCTCTCGTTAGCAGCCGGGAGGAAAGGCTGCAGGCCTGACACTGAGCTGTTATCACCCGCCCTCAGCGAAGACCGGGGCGAGGGAGGAAGGATGAGGGGAGAGCAGGAGAAGGCAGAGACTGCTCTCCGAGGCCAAAATGGGATGAGCAGTCACTGCCGCCTCCCCCCCCCCCCCTGCCGCCCCCCCGTGCAGCTGTGCACTGCGCACCGACATGCCTTCCCCAGGCACCGTCCCTTCCGCTCGAGCTCCTGGCTGCCCCCGGCCGCCTGCAGAGAGCCCAGGCTCCTGCCTGCCCCCGGCCGCCTGCAGAGAGCCCAGCATCGCCTTGCCCAGCGTAAGGAAGTTTCTGGAAAGCTGCTGGGCGTCAAGGAGGAGCTCAGAGAGGACGGCTGGCCCCAGAGCGGGTGTGCAGTGCGGGCTTGCCCGTCAGGGTGCAGACAGCCGGTTGGACGGACAGGGAGCACGTGCCTGCGGGGGGCGTACTCACAGTGAGACGGTGATGTAGAGGAAGCTCCAGTTGGACAGGCCCACGTCGAGTGCCGTGGCCAGCGCTGAGGAGACACAGGGCGCGCGTGGGCACGCGGGGGAGAGAGGGCAGGTGGTATGAGGGGTCCAGTGATTAGAACACTTCCATGAGTCCCCCCACCTTCTCTGGGGCTTCCGGCCTTCCTTTCTACCCAGCAACTGAAAGGTTAACTCACAAAACGGGGGGGAGGCAGGAGGTCTGCTCCAACATTCAGGTTGTAGTGCATTCTGACTGGCTGGGGCCTGTGTCCTTCCCACTGACTTAATTCTTTGCATACCCTCCCTGCTGACAGATATCAATCCGGCCCTGCAAACTCTTCAGAGTGGTCACGGAGGAGGACCTGGCCCCCAGGATCTGACCCCGTCCACCCTCTCACTTCCTCTCGCCAATGTTGAGTTCTCAGCGCCCCAAGACACTTTCAGTTCCCTTGCAGACTCCCACAGGCACTAAGCCCTTCCCCTCCCCGGCCCACTCGCCCTCCAGCTCTCAGCCCCCTCAGCCCTTGCTCCGGGGAGCCCTCCCCGCCTAGCACCGAGAGCAGAGACCACACGCTCTGCTCACCACCACCTCCAGGCCTGGAAACACAGCTCAGTGTGCATGTCCAAGGCCAAGGCAACTACAAGGCTACCACCGCACGGGGGCTTTGTGTGGTGTGCACGGGGGAAGTGGGGAGATGGGGAGCACACATGAGGCAGACGTGGGGGCAGGAAGGGCAGGCGGAGAGGAGTGAGGAAACATGGGTGGGGCAGGGAGAGAGGGGCCAGCGAGGCTTCCTTTTGTTCCGGGCCCATGGCTTCCCAAGCAGCCCTCCTCCTGCCGGGCTCCCCACGGGCACACACCTGTCGGAGCCACTCTTCTGAGGTAGTCGGTCCAGCTCAGCACCACGCGGGCCCGGTGGCTGGAGCACTGGACCAGCGCCCGGGACAGGGCGGAGAACAGGAAGATCACGGCGAGGTGCAGCATTGTCATGAAGAGGGGGAAGTGGAAGCTCTGCAGGAGCCAAAGCACAGCCGGCCAGCGCGGCTTAGCAGCCAGCCCTCCCCTAGCTCCCCCCACCCGGCTCCCCCGACCCAGTTCCCCCCACCCGGTGGCAGTGGCCCTGGTTCTGAGCTTGCTGAGGGCTCTGCAGGGGCTTCCACCCACATTGCAATCACTTGGCATCAGACTTAGCCCCAGAGTGGAGGCCACACAGACAGCAGGTGGACGAACGGGCCTCACTGGTAGCTCAGTGCTGTCTCTGCCTCTGCCAGCCTGTCAGCTCCCTGCCCCAGCCCCTCCCCGTGGCCACACCCAGGAAACAGCAGCTGGGCCAGGACAGCTGTGCCAGCCATTAGAGTACTGGACTACTTTGCTACCTGTTGGTCAACAGCTGCTTAAGCTCCCCAAGTCTCCCCAGCTCATCCCTGTGTTCCCCCCCCCACTACCACCCCCCACGCCACAATGCAAACACTTCGGGAGAATCCCTGGCATGGCAGCGCTGGCTGCAGGGTTCTGCCCATCACCAATGTGATGGCGGAAGCCCGTGCCTTCCTGTCGTGACGTGTCAGGGGCCCTGCAGCCCCGCCACCTCCCCCGGCCCCGCGGTGCCGGCTCCCAGTCACCTTGGTCAGCCATTTGTTGTAGAAGGTGATGCCGATGGAGAAGCAGTAGTAGAGGAGGACCAGCCCCAGGGTCAGCACTGCCCTCCACACAAAGGCCACGTCGAGGGCCCACCTCCCCATCTGCAGGAGCGGCGGCTGCCCGGCGGGGGTGGGCGGGGGCAGCACCTCTCCCGGAGACGGACGCAGGGAGAGCCGCTGGGCACGCCACCACCTCCCACAAGGACTGGCAACAAGCACGTCGTGGAGGCGTTCGTTCTCTTCACTCCATGTCGGTGGCTGTGGAGCCTAGGCCGAACCCTCACCTGCGGGGCTGGGGACCCAGCCAGTCCTCTGCATGGTCACCAGGCAGGGCTCCCAGGGCCCAGGTCTGAGGCTAGAAGGAGACAGAGGCAGCGCTGGTGACCTGGGCAGAGCCGGGGCTGTCTGACGCCACCGCCCAGGCCTGTCCCGCAGGGAGAGGGGGCAGACAGGAGCGGGAAGGAGCTCACACCAGCACGGGCGCTCCCAGCTCAGCTCCAGGCCACTTCCACTCTCTTGTCGCCTCAAGCTGTTCCCCATGAGTTGCTGCCAAAGTGACCTTTTGAAAACGTAAATCTGATCGTGTCAGATCACTGCTTAAAGCCCTTCTGCAGCATCCAGTGCTCTTAAGATACAGATCGAAACCCTTCTTTAGGCTAGAAAATTCAGCAGCATCTGGTCCCTAACCACCATCCCTGCCCCTCAGCCCAAGTAATGAAAATAAGAGCGTGTCCAGACATGGACGAAGGTCTCCTGGGTTGAGAAGCACTGCCTACACCACAGGTGACCACAGGCAGGCCGGCACTGAGAGGTCTGTCTTCCAGCCCTCCCTCCCCGTGGTCCTACCCACGACTTCCAAGACAGAACAGTGTGTACCCTCCTGTGAATCAGCTTCTCCTACCTCCTGCCTTTGCTGCAGTTCCTGCTCCAACACTGTGACACCGTACCCCGTCCCTCCTTCCTCCAAAGAGCTGGTGAGGACCCCACCGCTGCTAGGAACTCCCCAGGACTACCCCAGGGAGCACTGTCCCAAAGTTAACATCACTCCTCTGACTACTTTCCCGAAGGCCACCTAACCCCACACGCAACAGACCTCAGCTAGTAGGGCCCTTGGAAATCTTCTGACCACTTACTTGGGGTGCATTTATTGAGCACAGTTGCAGACTAAGGAATCTGTGACTGATAAGATCCCCGCCCTCATTCTGTGATAAGGGAAACCAGGCTCAAAGGGGCAGACACTCTTTTCCAAATCTCACTCGCCCACCAAAGGCATTGCATATTCTGCCTTTCTTTCCTGGGGGCAGCGTAGCTTGGAGCAGTTGCCACGTCAGTTGGGGTATCACCACAGCCCCCAGCTGCCCTTCACCTTCCCAACCAGAACGTGGGCAGTGCGGCTCAGGGTCCGAAGTGTGGGCCCGGAGTGAGAAAGACCTGGGTCCAATCCTGGCTCCTCTCCTTCCTATTTCATGACCCCAGTCATCTGACTTCTGGACCTCAGTTTCCCCAACTGTAAAGGAGGATAAAGTCCTGAGCCTCCTGGGAGGGGAGTCAGTGGCATCAGGTACAGCGCGATGTGCTGGCTCACGGTAAGGCCACCCCACTCCTGGTCCCGGGAAACGTCCCGGGCCTGCTCCCACAGCCTCAGGAGTCAATTGCCCTTTCAAGGGCCAAGTCTCTAGTCTCATCAGCATCTTATACAACTGACCACTTCCTCCTCCTGGGAAAGCCGCTTGGACATCACACAGCACTCTGCAGAGTTTCTTCTGCTTTTCTGGCCTCCTCCTTGGTCAACCCAACCTTTAAACACCGGGGGCCTGGCTTCTGTTTTCCACTTCAATTCTCATCTTGCATAACCTCATGCCATTGATCGACAGGCCAACAAGTTCTAAATTCCTCACATCAGCCCCAACCTTTCCTACGAGCCCCAGGCTGGGACACCTAACGTGGGCTCCACTCAGGACACCTACACCTCAGTGTCCCCCACCGAGTCCTTGATCCATGCCCCCCACATCCTTAGTAAATGCCAGCATCACATCTGATTACTAAGGCCTCAACCCCCAAATCAATGGCAGAAGCTATCTTTGACCTCTCTTTCCCTCTTCTCCAATCCTGTCCCGTCTCCACCCGCCTCTGCTCTTCTCTCTACTCCACCATCGCAGCCTAAGCCACGATCACCTTTCTCTACTGACTGCAATCGTTTCCATACCCTACACTTTCTCCATCTTTCTCCCCACCCACCCCGCAGCCTGGAGAGAGTGCTTAGGCACAGAAGCAGCCCAGCTGCCCTCGGGCGAACCCCAACTCCTCAGAAGGCCCCCAGAAACGCCTCCCACCATCTGGCCTCCGAAGACGGCTGCAGCCTCCCTCTCCAGCTGCCACCTGGGCGCCCAGCACGCCGGCCCGGCGGGTGTGTCTGTAACACACGTCAGCCCGCGCCCTTTGCGCCAGCTGTTCCCTGTGCCTGCAACACTGTTCCCGGCCTCTGCGCGGACTCCCCCGGGGCCCTCCTCACCCTCCTCCGCACACACCTCCACCCCCCGGCGGTTCCCGGTTTGCCCACGAGTGCTCCGCCGGCCTCCCTCCCGCCCAGCGGACTGCAGGCCACCCCGCGGGGCCCAGGAAAGGCCGGGGCAGCGCGCACAGAGCGGCCCGCGAGGGCGCGCGCAGCCCGGGCCCCTCCGCGCGGGGCAGGCGCCCAGGCGCGCCCCGCAGGGCCCGCCGGACCGGCTCCCCCTCCCGCCCCGGGAGCGCGCGGAGGCCGGCGGCGCGCCCACTCACCTCGGCCCGGCGCTCCCGGCCGCGGTCCTCCTGCCGGAAGTGCGAGGCCGGCGATGCGCGGTCGGAGGAACATTTCCGCCCGAAGCCACTGGGGGGCGGGGCGTCTGCCGCGGGGGCGGGGCGGGCCTGGGAGCTGGGTTCGCTCTCTCCGGTCTGCAGACGCGCCCCGCGTCGTGTGCTCTCCCCGGGGAGCATCCCCGCCACCCCTTCCGCAGCCCAGCGGCCCCTGGCACCTCCTAGTACTGGGACCCTCGGGGCCTCGCTCTGGAGCCTCCGTGTTTGCAGCAGAGCCGGGCACCCAGGAAACGGTCACCTATGGACTTCCATTGAGCCAATTGTTTACCTTATTCCAAACCAGTGCGGGGCAATTGTGATAGGAACCGCAGAGATAACGCTCATGGGCTTTTTCTTCTGGTTGCACAAGCCAGCTGGGGAGTGCAAGGTCAGGGCACTACACTTTAGAACTTAGAAAGTCCATAGAAGGTAGTAAATAATAAACGTTTGTGAACCATTTTCTGTGTTCCCGAAACTTTACAAGAATGATCCCCATTTCAATAGGCTGAGTAAGGAGAGACAGAGGACAACCTGGTGGGGAAAGTAGCCAAGGCACGGGATGCAGTGGTCCCCAAAACGCCAGCGGCAGAGTTTAGACCTTCATCTCGCAGGATGGGTTAGAAGGGGCAGAGCCAGCAGAGCAGACAGAGATCTATTAGGACAGAGCAAGGTAGGGTTGAAGACAGGCCCAGTTTGGGGCATTTTGTCCCCCTATGATCCCAATCCCCTCCTGGGCTCTGGCTCTAAGACTGGCTGCAAACATAGATCCTTGCCTGGCGGCTCTGAACAGAAGGTTCAAGGCCAGAGTGTAAGCAGTTTATTTTGCAAACCGCTGCTGCCCTCACCACCAGCAGCTGGCATTTCACAGGCATTAGTTCGCTGTGGGCTTAATCACTTACAATGGCACTCATCGCTGCCCACGGTCTTGGCTTTCTTCGGTCCTCCAGGCCTGTACTGCGTGCATTTCTGTGCGGTTTGAGTGAGCTTGTCCTCGCCCCCTTCTCTCTCAGAGGCACGAGAAAAGTATCTATTTTCATCACGGCCCTCCTTCCAGCCTCCCTACTACCAAGGCTGAGGCTTGGAGCAACAGCCTGAAGCGCCACCTGGAAGGCTGGGCACTAAGCGTGGCGACACACGGGTGAGGAACGTGTTTTCTCTGTAAGGTACAAGCACTCCAACTGCTCCCTGGCTGTGTCCCCGGCCACAGGAGGAGGGAGGATGTGTTCACGGGGGTGTGCAGTGTCTTTCCCTGATGTACTCAGCAGGCCCAAGCAGAAAACACTGTGTCCTGGTGTGACAATCTGTGAGCATCTTTACCCAGCAGGTACCGTGTGCGGGGCGGGGGGGAGGCAGGGTGGCTGAAGAGAAAGGGGCCCTGGGAAAGTGGCTGAGGACTCCGGCTGGCACTCTCTCAAGTCCCCCAGACACAATGGAATGAAGGCTTGTCAAGGTGAAAGTTCCCTTGGGCAGGAATCCAGTAACAGAGAAAGAGCTGTTAGTAGGAAGTAGGAACCACAGTCTGTACATGAAAGAGTATTTATTGAAAACATGTTACTGACAGGAAGCTCCTGGCTGCTCTCAGGTTACAATCTTGGCTCACAACTGGAAGTGCTACTTTTTTTTTTTTCTTCCAATTTTATAATCCCTCAAGCATTTCATCCTAGGATAGGTAGATCTTATATAAATATATATACACGTCTGTATAAGTATGGCCTATAGTAAAGAAAATATATAGTACACTCTTCATTGGGTAGTACCTACCGTGCCAGGCTACCAAAACAGAATGCCACTGTGTTCACGTATGTCCAAGGAGAGAGGCTGTGCGTGTGGTCTACACGTGCGGCAGCACCAGGGCAAGCCGCTGGCACAGAGGTGGCCTCCAGCTAGCTCCCTGAAGTCATGGCCAATGGCAGGGACCACAGCACTGAGATGGGCAGGAAGGGAAGCCCAACTTGCCGAGGTCTGGAAGGCCGAAGGAAAGCCTCCTGGAGGCTGCGCTTCGGGTTGGGTGGGCGGTCTCCCCCGGAGGAAGGGAAAGATGTAAGTGTGGGGAGGGGAGTGGACTCTAGTGACCTCACCACAGGCTCCTTGCAGAGTTCCTGGAGACTAACAGGGTGGGACTCGGCCTTGATGTCTCTGACTAGCCAGGATGGGAGATTGTGAGCTGGTAGGGAGGCATTTCCATCTGCCCAGACAATTACGTGAGCAAGAAAGGCCTGGTAGATCCCGAGAGGAGAAGTCAGTGTCGAGCCTCAGCAGCCAGCCGCATGGTGGCCCTGTCTGAGCCTGGAGTGAGCCCTCACAAAGACGACAAAAGCAAGGGCAAGGCCTCTACTTAGATCTGAGACAGGCACAGGGTCACCCAAAGGCAGTCTCTGCAGGGCTCCCAACATGCCTAGCACTGTCCTCTGCAGCCGCCTTTCCTGGGCCAGCTCTTGCCCACATGGGAGCCAGCTGACCACGGGAGAGTAGGCTCAGGAAGAAAAGGTGAGTGGCTGTTGTTATCCAGCTCAGAAAGCAGTTTCTTGGCCTGAAGGGCAAGGGCATTTGCTGTTCGATCCTCATGGCCCAAAGCCAGGCTCCACAGTGATAGGAGGGCAGAGCACCTGCCTTCATGTCTCAGAGTGGATGGGGACCAAGAAAAAGCTCTGGGTGGTCAGAGGTGGGTTGGTGGAATGGTTGGCATTTACTGGCCACCACAGTCCCTATGGATTCTGTACAAGCAAAAGACAAGGCACCAGACTGTGAGTGTTTCTCCTGGGTCCCAAATGCCTTCCTGGGTGCCGTCGCCGCTGGCTCGGGCTCAGCCATAATGATACACAAAATCGTAGCTGCTGGGCTCCTTGGGCACTGGTGGGGGCGCTTCCGGGATCTGGACGTTCTCCAAGTCCAGAAGCCGCAGCTTCATCTCCATGCTCAGCAGGGTGTCCAGGTCACTCTTGGTCAGCTCACTGGACATGTCCTTCCCCAGAAGGGCACTGAGGCCATCAATCCAGATGCAGTACTGGGGGAGCAAGTTGCAGAACATCAGAAGGTGGCCCCTGGACAGCAGGAGTCCTGCCACGGTCCTTTTCCTAGGACTCACTCTGGTCTCCTTTGGAACTAGTCAGCATAGACAAAACTGACTTGGGATAATAGCAAAGGTAAATTGGGAGCTGCTCACTCTCTCAAAAGACCTTTTGTTTTGTTTGTTTGTTTTTCAATGTCTCCCCATTCACAATCAGACCAGGCAGAGAGCCTGAGCTGAGGTGTATATGGGGTAGGTTTACTCTGCCTCCTATTTCTGTACAGTCGGTGTAAGCACACAGCCTGTGGTAAGCACCAGGGGCCTGACCTTTTGGTTTTTAGAGAGATTGACATTTAAACTCCCTAAGATAATATAAAATATGACTTTAAGAAATACAATTAGAGAACACAGCAAAACCAGACCTGAGACTGGGGCAGCAAGTACCTGGAAATGCCCTTGAAATTAGTAATGGGGAGGGAAGACTACAAATTAGGTGACAAGAACAGAACACAAAAGAAACCACTGTGGGACTCACTTTTGTTTTTAAAAAAGTAAACAAAAACAACACTTTCCCCGCCCCCCAGTCAATAAATGTTGAAATTGAGCACTGGCGGGTCTCACAATGAGGGAATGACAGAGAGTTCTCAGCCCTCCCGGCCCTCCTGCTCCATCTTTCTCCCTGCCTCCCTCCCCACCGGCTAGTTCACTTCCTCCCAATAAAGCTCTGCTGGCAGCTCAGGTCCCTCCTAACGGTCTCCTCCTCCCGCCTTCAGCTTCCTCTGATGGCTCAGAGCTCACCAGACCGTGTGGTCTCAACTGCAGTGACTCAGGTAACATCTAGTATCTTCCAGGGCTGCAACTGAAACTGCAAGCTGGTTCAGCAGGACCAGGGCCACCTGGCTTCAAAGCCCAAGCCAGACCCACTGCATATGGCCAGGAGCCCTGAGGAGGGGCATGTGTTAGGTTCCCTAGAAACTGAAAAGAGGAAACTTTTCCTACTCCCAGCAAATAAGTTAGCCCTGGTTGGCCCTGTCTTGCTAATGACAACCTGCAGCTACCGCTGAAGAGAGACCTGGAGGGCCCAGCTCAGGGGAAAAGGAACCCTGGTGGCAGACCCTGTGTCAAACAGCCTTCACGACAGGCGACTGCTTTAGCGGGACAGGATGTTCCTGTTGTGTCCGCTTCTCCCCTCTGGCTAAAGAATCGCAGAGGGCTGGGATGTGCAAGGCAGCGCCACGCCACTCACCTCATACTTATTAGGCGCAATGAAGTTTAAGGTCTCATCGGGGTCATAGAGGATGGAGAAAGCCAACTCCAACACCTCCTGAAGGAGAAAGGTTTCAGTTAGTGGAACAAACAGGCGAGCAAGGACAGTTCTGGGGAAGGCCTGGGACACCAAGATCTTGGCCAAAGTCCTTGTGAGTTGGCACCATCACCAAATGTGCTGAGTCATATGTGATGCCATCCAACACACGAATGGCTGGAGATGGAGCCCCCAGGGTGACTAATCAACCTGAACTCATCCCTCCCCACCCAAGTCATGCCTACAATGAGGTGATACTTTTAAGATTGGAGGAAAGTTATTACTTAATACTCAGAAGCTTCAAAATGTCAGAGCCCATGACTATGTATTACCTTAAATATGTATCTTGGTAATTAAACCGAAAGGTGTTAACAGTTTAAACCCACAACAATGAAAACAAGTTGTGGCCAAAAATGGAAGAAATGTGAGCATCAACAACATAACTAATGGGTTTAAAAAAAATAGAATTTGCTTAAACCCTGAGTTCATAATAATACTGGAAAATAAACAAGACACCTATACATAATTGGTCATTGTTGGATGGTATAAGGGAACTAACTCTAGGTGCACAATAGGAAAGAATTCAGCATTTATCCTCCTTTCTTACATAAACAGTACCACTGGGAAACCAACTGTAGGTGACAGCAAGTATCTCTTTAGAGAAATAGTTCAGCTAATAAATGAAAAGGATGGGCTGCATTCGAATATCACTAGCTATCAAGCCTATTTACTAGCGGAAGGAGGCATGAGCATTCGGGGAACTGACACCACAAAAAGAGAGACAGCCACATGGTATGTGTCTCTGATAGAACATGAAAAGCCTCTAGAAAGTAGTCTTATTAAAAAAAAAAAAAAAGGTCACACCTAAAGTGGATCAAGCCTCTACATCTCTCCCTCACTGTACAGATCTGGGACAGAGGAGCAAGTTAAACTGCACCGTGGGGAGACAGTCAGCAACTCTCAGACTCTCGGAAACTACCAAACAAGCAACCTGGTTCCTCCAACTAATAAACTGCAAAGAGAAATAAAGATGGGAAGATGGAAGGGGGCTTATGAATTAAGAAATGTAAAAGGTGCTCGCTTCAGCAGCACATAGACCGAAACTGGAACGATACAGGGGAGATTAGCATGGCCCCTGTGCAAGAATGTTATGCAAATTTGTGAAGCGTTTCACATTTAAAAAAACCACAAAACTTAAAAGACTAATCATGAAGTGTAGCCTCTCACTTAACAAACAAAATGAGATGTTTGTATGTCTATACATATCGCATTTGCATATTTATACAGAGAAATTACGATGTTTATAAAACAATTAGTAGAAGTCCAAACATCAATAGAAGAGTTGACATTAAATAACAATTTTCATTTTTTTTTAAATGTGATAATGCTGTTGGGATTATGTTAAAGGAGCCCTCATAATCTAGGGATACAGTCTATATACTGACAGATAGAATGATGTGACACTTGAGGTTTTCTTCAAAGTAACAGCGGGGAGGAAGGTAGACAGTACTTTGCCATGGCTGTGAGGCTGGATGATGCATATATGGGGGTTCTATCTGTTTTTCTGTATGTTCAAAATTATTCTTAATAAAACATTCAGAATTAGAGAGACAGAATGTGGGTGAGAGCAGGCACCTGAGAGACCGCTACCACCGCCTACACCAGGAATCCCTGTGACAGCAGCTCAGACACGGGACTGCCTCTCCACTCACCTTGTTCTGTTTCAGAGCGCTTTTCTCTTTCATGTGGGGGCAATCTTTCCCAGTGACAATGGCCTTGATGTCTGCAACAGGAACTGATCAATGAAGGGAATTAGTTTCTGGGAACTTCATGGTGCAAGTTGGTCCTTGCTTCGGTGCTCAAAGGGAAGCCTCCCCCAGACTCACAGAGCTGTATCAGCTCAGGGTGAGTGCCTGGTATTGTTCCCCCTCTGGGGTCGCTGCCCATGAACCATGGCCTGCAGGGCTGTGTCAAATCTGACTGGACTTTTGGATCGTTTCCCCAAGGCATGGGGCCTCTGATACTCACCTTACTGTCACATCACAGTAATGATGGTGACAACACCACCATAGCAAACAGCAGTGGCGGCAGCTAACAGTTTCACCTGCTACTGGTTCTAACTGCTTTACATAGACTAGGCATTCCATCCTCTTATGAGGGAGATATGGTTATTATTCTGACAGAAGAAAAAAAGGCAGAGAGGAGAATGAACTCAAAATTGATTTGAATTAATCAGAATCAGAATTAGTGGTAAAGCCAAGATTTGAATCCAAGTAGTCTGCTCTTAACCACTGCCTTTCAACTTTGCTTTGTATCACCCTTTACAGTCTGCAAAGCCCATTCCCCTCTGTGATCTCACTGAATTCTCCAAAGAGCCCTGTGAGGGAGGCAGACATGACCTCTGACAGATAAGCAAACGGGTCCAGAGAGACATGTGGCCCAAGACCAGATAATCAGCTTGAAACAGCCAGGATCAGAACTCTCCTGAGATCGAGTCCAGCTACCAGGTCAGAGCAATAGAGAAATGAACCTACTTTTCTCCTGCAGGGATTCAAATGTCACCTCCCCTTGAGGGTTGTCGTCCAAGTCACCGTAGTGCAGGACCTTGTGGTTCAGTGCGAGGCGGCAGTACCAGAAACGCTCTGGAACACAAGGGAAGCCAAACAGGTGAGCAAGGACAGTTGTGGGGAAGGCCTGGGCACACACAGGATGCTGTGTTCCCTGCCTGCTCCCTGCAGGGCCCGCCCAGGCAGGCTCCCTCCCCGGGCAGTGGCTCTGGGTAGTAAGGACCGCACAGCGGCCCAGGCCCCTGTCACCTTGCCTTCGGCGATTCCCAATCTTCCGGAAGCTGCTGCCCTCACAGAGCCGGTTCAGTCGCTGCTGCTTGATCAGCTCAAGAATCTCGGGCTGGATCTTCTCCCTCAGCTCCCTGAGGTGGCCGAGTACCAGGGAAAGGAAGGTCACAGCGAGCTTTGGAAGGACGGCGGAGTGGGGCTGGGTTCCCTCACCTGGCCCCCTACAGGATGGTACTTACACAATTGGCGGGGACTGGAAGTCATCCTGGCTCATCCTTTCAGACTGGCGCAGCCTCAGAATCTCAGAGTAGCTCAGGCTGCGTAGTTTGCTCTTGAACTGATCCAAAGAGTTGGGTTTGGAGGGCAGAGCACGAGTGATCTGCTCTCGGACAACCTGCATAACCTACAGGGGAAGGAAGAAGGCAGCCAGCTCGCCCCTGCTCTGACACCCAGACAGGCTGCCTCTGGCACCAAGGGTTGGCCTGAGCCTGGACCTTGAGCACAGCAGGACTACAGAGCCCCGACGTACTAAGAACATCTCCTTGGATGGTTATTTAGGAGAAATGACTGATTGTGAAAAATGTCTTATTTCTCATACATTTCCATTAGTCAACCTTGTGGAATGAGCATAGGTTTTTGGAGTCTGAGAGGAATGGATTCAGATCTTGACTCTGTCCCTTCATCTGTTCCTTGAATAAGTTACTTAACACACACTCCTTACACTTTAAAGGGACAGAGAAAGACATATCTTCTGATACGTGCTGCCTGAAGGATTATGAGATGCTATATGGAGGCACAGTGCCTAGTGCATTGTGGTACGTTCAAAAAAAGGTGTTACTTCCCCTAGAACAACAGTTAAAGGAAAAACAGAGTATCACAATGCACATCCAGTCAGCTCTCCATCAGGGAAGAAAAATCTACAGGAAAAAAGGACTACAGTGAAACCCATAAAAAATGGTCATCACTGGATGGTGAAATTACAGCAAACACTTTCTTCTTTATACTTCCCAAACTTTTTACAATGAGGTGATCAGCTTCAAAACACTCAAGTCTAGAGTATCAGCTTTTGAGGGCCCTGTGTGCTCCACCGAGATGGTCACTCAGAAAGCACGGAGGAATGACTTCTGAGTAGGTATCCATGACCTGCATATTATGCCAATCCACCTCTCCCTGATGCTTTCCATGCACAAAACAGCAACAGTGCCTGCACATAAGTGCTCAGCAAACCACAGCTATTATTGTGCTTATCCTCCTAGCTCCTAAGCAAGACAGGAGGGGTGAGTACTGCTCCACAGGCAACCGAAGGGCCAGGGCACCAAGGGGAAGACATCTGCTCAAGATGACAGAGGAAGCACAACCAGAGGGGACAATGCCTCAGTCTTATGATGTGTCGTTGCAGACGAGGCTAGTTTTCCAGTTCAGGGATTTCTCCGACTCTGGTCAGCTGTCACAGGTGATGGTCTCAGCCCAGGGACCTCAGAGCTCTGCGATACTGACCTTGTTGAAGTCCTCGGCTGTTGCCCTCATCTCCTTCCAGGTCTTGTTCAGCAGCTGGATGCAGATTCCGAAGAGCTCCTCAAAGGCTCGGTCGTGGGTAAAGAACATGGGGTGATAGTCATTGCGCCCTTCGTTTGCTATGGGAGAAAAGAGGCAGGAAAGGGATGAGCTGGATGCTCATGTCCAGGAGCTTTGATTCCTCTGCACCAAAGTCCTGAAGAACAAAACCAAGACGAGGACCACGGCTAGTGACGAGTGTAGGATAGGCCTTTCCCAATTCCTGAGCCTTCTTCTCCAGGGCACTTGCTCTTGGTCCGCCTCTGCCCTGTAACAGACTCAGCCAGTCCTTGCACCTGGGAGTGGATGGTGGCATAGCTCTTGAACATGTTCAAACTGCCAGCTTGAACAAAGCAATACCCAAGACTCCTATTAACAAGGATAAGCTGATCACAGCTCACTCAGCCCCCGATTACAGGGCTGCTGTACAGACTTACGTAGTTCCCCAACCTGGAGGATTTCACAGAGCATTTTGGTAAGCTCAATCGCACTGCGGCCAAAGGGGCACTCATGTTTGTCTTCGCGGCTGCTGTTCTCCAGGACGATCTGGGGAGGAGAGGAAAAGGAGGTCAGGGAGGAGAGGACTAGGGAGGTGGGAGAGGGAGGCCAGAGATGAGGTACCAGGACTGAGAAAGCTGCCCCAGCCTTTACCCGGATGTAGGTGTCCTGATGGACTTTAGCCAAGTACAGCATGTTGTCCAAGGCCAGCATTCCAGGAGGAGTCTGTGTGAAGTCCATTGCTGGGTTGATATGGTTCTGGAGGAAGAAGAAACTGATGTAAGACTTGGCAGTCTTTCTGTGTACAGTGTCACCTGAGCGGAAGCCCTTGCCCCTCATCTGAATGCTGCCAGCACTGCAGACCTACATCTATTGTAGCTCTTTCCTCGGCCATCACTACTATGAGACTGCAAGCCCTTGACTCCTGGGCTGACTCACCTTGTAACCCCAGCGTATAGCACACTGCTGGGCACTGAGTAGGCGCATAATAAATATTTAAATGAATTAACTCCATCCTCACGCTGATCCTATCATAAAATACCTCATGCCTGCTTTTCAAAGAATCTCGCTGCTGTGGTGAGAGGTCTCCGCTCCACCCATATGGCTGACGGGCTGGCCCTGCCTACAGAGGCCTTTGTTTCACAGGCCAGATGCTGCACATAAACTGTGACTCTGCCATTGCATAAGCAAGCTGAGGACCAAGGCCCTCCAGCTTCTCAGTGTCATCTAGTCCAAGGCCACCGTTACGAAGCAGGGATGCCCAGGACTCACTTGGGTGGGCCCTCTGACTTCCTGTCAGAGCAGAAGGCCTACTGAGGTCTGTGCTTTGGGAAACTTACAGTAAATCCCAGCATTTTGTAGTCCTTGGTATACATGGCTTTGCGTTTTTCAGTCCCACTCCCAGGGACATTGCTCGAGTCAGACTCTGCATCAAATGCAATCCTCCTCAGTTCGAATATAATGTCTCTTTGAGCCTGAAGTGAGACAGACAGCCAGCAGGTGAATCAGCTAACCAAGGGAAGCAAGGAAAAGAAAGAGTGGTGGCGCTTGGGCAGAACTCTGGCCCTGATGGATCTCTGAAGAGGCACCACCTCTCCCTTAGCGGGACAGAGGTGGGCTCGGCGCAGAGGGTCACCAGCAGGAAGAGGACACGGGGAGGCACACAGCTGGATTTCTCAGAGCAGACAAACCATTTGTGCAGACACATCTAAGCAAGGTCCCTGGCACACAGCAGGCGCTCAGTACACAGCCTGAGGGTGGTGCACTCCACATCAAACAGCACACAGCGGAAGCCAGAGAAGCTCTGCCCTTCTAAGCGCCTACCTGGTCATTGGGGTCCATCTTGGTCATCATCCTTTCTTCCAGAAGGTTAAAGGTCAGGACTTGTAGGACATACAATTGATGGGCCATCTCAGTTTTGATCGGGCGGTTCCCTCGGATCACATGCTGGAAAAAGCACAGGCAGGGAGCAGGGGGCTCAACTGATTTTCTTTTACTGAAGAGTCACATCCATGCTATGCTGGTGAAAAAGGAAGTACGCTGGGCAAGGAAGAGGGCTTTCCTCCCACACACAAGGACTCTGTGTTCTCGAAGGGGATGGAGCATGAATGGGCTTGATTCAGCAGAGAGGATGCACTGCAGGCCAGAAGCCACGATTCTCTTCTCTTACCCCACTAAGACTATGATACGGGAGCTCAGCGGCTGGACCTCATTCCAATCAGGTAAGTAATTACTGGTTATAATCAGTCAGTAATTACTAGTTTTAATTTGAACTAGCCACATTTTAAGTGTTCAACAGCCACATGTGGCTAGTGGCTACCAAACTGGACTGCAGGTCTAAAGAGATCCAAGACAATCCAAGACGATAGCTAACGGGCATGGAGGAAGATCTGCTTGTGGAATTGGACAGTACGGTTCTTTGTTTTCCCTTAGAAAAATAAAAGCCTCGCTACTTGGTGAAGATGGAGTCACCAAGTAGAGAGGCTTTAGAAAAGATCATTTTCTTTAAGTGACATGGAAACCTACATAAAGGGGGGCATCTAATGCTCCCATCCAACCCTCCTCACTCGCTCCTCCCTCCTTTGTCTCCTACAACTGTCCCTCTTTTCTCTCCCCTCCCTGTGTTGTGTTCCCACCATGTCCCCCTCCCTCCTCTAACTTGTTCTGCCTGCTCTCTTTCCATGGCCCTGGGCCCCCCTCAGCTCATCACCTCCTCCCTCTGATGCCTACCCCTCTCCTATTCTCACGTTCTGTCTTTTCCCACTCGCTCCAGGCTGAGCAATGCTGGTTATGTTCTTGTCTCAAGCTGTCCTGTTCTCATTCCAAGAGGCTGTTCTTTCCTGCATGCTTCCTGTATTTCTCGTTCCCCCACTTTATCTCACTACCATCTTGAATCCTGTCACTCTTGCTCTTTTCTTGGCCAAATAAGACTCCTGTCCAGTTTCCCACATGAACCACCTGTATCCTTTGTGTTCTCTTACTCAGTCTAGCTGTGTCTTTAGGGACCTGTGCTGTCCAATGTGACAGCCTCTGGTCATATGGGGCTACTTGCATTTAAGTCACTTACAATGAATTTAAATTGAAAATTCAGGTCCTCATTAGCACTAGACACATTTTAAGCTCACCAGGCACATGTGGTTAGTGGCTGCCACCCGATGGTAGGGTAGATATGGGAACATTTCCATTATCACAGAAAGTTCTACCAGACAGCTCTATAGAGCTTCTAATTCTAGATCAGTGTCTTTTTCGAGCTCCCTCTAACTTCAGATCAGCTCTCTAGGGCCTGCTCAGCTAGCGATAACTAAGTTTGCCACTAGCCATGTGTGGCTATTGAACATTGGAAATGCGGCTAGTCCAGACTGAGACATGCTGTCAATGAAGGCACACCAGACCTCAGAACCTTTGTATGTGAAAAAAAAATGTACAGTATCTCATCAATGATTTTCTTATTGATTATATGTTGGAATCATAGTGGTTTAGATAAACTGGGTTAAATGAAATGTTATTGAAATTAATTTCTTCCATTCCTTTTTTAACATTGCTGCTAGAACATCTATAATAATAAAAGTGTAATATGCAAATCAACCGAACAGCTAAACAGCTGAACGACCATCCAGACAGACTTCTGGACAAAGCCAGAATGGATTCAGATGAACCCATTTCATGCATCGGGCCTCTAGTAGCAAATAAAATAAGTGGTCCCTATATTTTCACTGGATGGCGCTGCTAGGCCTTGTCTCTCCACCATGAGATGCCAGAGTGCTTTTCCTTCCTCTCTTTCTTTCTCTAGATCTGCACAGCCCAAACAGTAACCACAAGCCATATTTAAACTAAAAATTTTTTAAAAAGACAAATTAAGTTCCCCAGACAGGTTACATTTAAAGTGCTCAACAGCCATGTGTGGCTAGTGGCTACCATTTGGGACAGCACTTCCACAGCTGCAGACATTTCTACTGGACAAAGCTGCCCTGCTCTCTTGCTAGAGGGCATGCTAATGCCCTCATCCCTCCCCTCTTTCCCTTTTAAGGGTAAGACGGAACTTACCCTTAGTTCAGTCTCAGTGTCTGTCTCCATCTCCCCAAGCTTACTTTTTCATTCTCTGCTCTCTTTTCCCCTCTTCCCAGACTCTCTTTGCCCAGGCTCTTTCTCTGTCACTTCTCTGCTGTCCCACTGACACCTCTTCTTTGCCCCAGTGTGAGCCTCTTCCTTTCTCTATGTTGCCCCACTCTGCCACTCCAATTTCTCACCACCTGTCTATCCCTACTCCTTCCACCTCACCTCTCCAGAACTCATAAACCACTTCAAAGAGAGGTTTAAAGTCAATGTGATATTGGTTTTCATTCATTTAACCCCCCTTTCTTAAACTTAGACACATCATTGTGGGAAAGTATTATAACTACTCTATCCACCAATGGCTTAAAGGAGGACAGCTCCAGTTGGGTTTTACCTGATATCTTATTTGCCGTCAGATACTTCCAGGCCTATTCTTCGGCTGGACTCAGTTAACCTCCTGGACTTACTAGTAAGTGAGCATGCGTACCATTTCCTAGCAGACTGTCTACGTCCTGAGCCCTGACACTGAACTGTCTTCTTAGTGGAATCTTAAGCTTGTCATAACCTCATTCAAGAAAATAAAGTCTCAAAATTCATTAAATTTCCCTCACAAAACATCCTTGCTCCCACACATGAAGAGGAATGTGGATGAGAAGGCGTGGGCACAGGGTGCTCTCTGTCGCTTGCAGGCAGAGTGCGTGAGCATTTGCTCAGGCCCCTCCTGCGGGCTGCCCATGGGCTGTGACCAGGGAATGGCCAATAGGCAAGAGCTAGTTCTGCTTAGTGAAGTCTGACAGGCTTCGCAAGTTTAGACCAGCTGATCACTGGACTTCACAAATACTCGAAGCTTACTTCTTGAATTCTGTCAGCTGTTCTTTTTTGTTTACAAGGAACTGCCAATATAAGCACAGCATTACCTCATGCCAGGCACCCTGCTAAGCACTGTGTATCCGTTAGCTCATTTAGTTCTCACATCCAGAGGAGCAAATCGAAGCCCAGAGAAGTTAAGTGAATTACTCAAGATCAAAGATTTGGTTAATTGCAGAGTGGGTGCTGGTGACTCCAAAGTTCATCTTCAGAATTAGTAAGTCCTTCACATTTGACTCTGAGTTTCTTCACTGTGCCCCCCTAGTTCTCCCTTGTTTTTGACAACTGATAAAATGGACACCTTTTAATGTAGAACCTTGGGTCTTTCCCCGATCCCACTGTCCCCTCTTCCCACCTCGGTTCCCTTCCACTCCACTTCACCACCCTGGTAATAAGGAATTAGACCTCTTTCCAGATGCCTCCCCCTCCCCACCACCTCCTACTCCACTTTCCTCCCTAACACCCCTCAGGAAACACAGATTTTGGAGTGTGATCTTTCTAAAATGCTAGTCTGGCTACTTCGTGATTCTGGTTAAATCCCCTCAACTGCACTTAGAAAAAAGACTAAGACCCTATTTGGTCTGGTCTTTGCTTCCTCTGCAGTCTCACCACACATCTGCTCCTTGCTTCACCCTCTACCCATCACACACTCCGTCTGCCTCCAGGCCCCCAACGCCCCCAATCCTTTTCCCTTTGGTCCTCAGCTTCCCCTGAAGACGGTCCTCTGAAGGCTTCCTGACACCTCTCCTTCCACACAGGACGGACTGCCCTCCTCTGAAATCTCCCAGACCACGAATCTCTACGAAGCCTGGCTACAAGGTGCCATGACCATTCGTCTTTCCTGCTGGACTGGAAGTTCTTCTAGAGCAAACACACTGTCTTCGTCATCCCTGCTGGTGCCCCACACACTCAGGTTTATGACCCGAGTTAAATCAACGAGATACCTTCCTTCTTTTGTGCCTATTTTAACACACTCCCTCTAGACAAACAAGTTTGGATCCGCCAGCCAACAAACAGTACAGCTGGCCTCAGTGTCTCCTTTGAGGCTCTGCAATCCCTGATGGGCCAGCGGCCTCCTGGAGACAACTCTGCCCATAGAGGATTACAAAGAAAGCTTTTCACCTTGGGAGTGTTTAGTGCCTGTTGGCAAGTTCTCTCTGAATGCCCAACTCACTGAATAGTAATTTCAACAATAATACAACTATAGTAATGGTAATAATTGTTATTAATAGTAACTAAACAATAGTAACAAAATACAGCTTGTCTCAGAAACTTACATTTAGGATTATGGACCGAAGGTGCTTCTGTGCAAATGCATTGGCCATGTCCTAGTGAGAAAATAAGAAATATGAGGCAAGGTGGCAGGACACAGCTGTGACAACCATAGAGGAAGGTGATGTCACAGCTCTGGGGCTTTTTCTGTCACAAATTTTTTTCCTTTCAAATGAAAAGTGGACAAATAGAAAAAAATCCACGAACCATCAACTGTATCTTATGCTCCAACAAATTCCCTCCCATTTTTCCTTTGTGAGTGCAAATAAACAAACAGGGTTTCTGGTCCCAATGGCACAATCCACACCATCTTCAAAGAGGGACGAAGACGCCTCAGACAAGACATGGTGTTACAGGACGGTGGGGATGGACAGTGTAAACGGAGCACAGAGCAGCGTGATGGTCCCCAAGCTGTAGGCACTGTTCACTGTTCCAGGCAGACACCCACTGCCTCTGCTGGAAGGGACTTCAAACCCAGGAAAGGGCTCTGGCCCCCCGCTCACCCAGAGGGATCTGGGTGGGGACCCTCTGAAATAATGAGTTCCCATTCACTTCTGACTGGTGGGGAGAATGTGTTGGGTGCTTTGGGGTAATTTTTCATAATAGGTGACTTTTTAAATTATATTTGGTTCTGATTTAACAGGAACACTTCATGTATTTAGTACACTCAGGAAAGGATCCTACTAAATTGAATCTTCCAGGGAGCGAAGCTTTAAGGGTCCTCTCAGAACCATTACTTTGACCATTCTTATGCAAATCTTTAAAAATTACAAGTCTATTTCAGAAGAGACTGCAATGATTATAATTTAATCATTGCCAAGGACTTGGCTTTATTAAGACCATCATTTATTTTTCTGGGTTGTGACACTAATACCCTTAAGGAGCTATTGAGATGTGAAGCTATTTTCTCCTAAACAAAATGGTCCCAGATTACCATGCTTTTAATTTCTCTGACAGCTTTTCATAATTCTTCTGTCTCTGCCTTCCAATGTCAGCCATCTCTTCTTATCATGTTAATTGGTATGACTTCACTTTCTAAACCGCTGCCTTAGTTTCATTTTATAGAGAATTCTAAGTCCATCGGCCTGAGGGAGCTGTGACACCTCTCCCATGGAGCAATGTCCTCGGAGCTCAAAGGCCTCTCTCTCACGCCTGGATTCCTGGCCAAATGCCAAGTGGCTGGTGCTGCCAGGAACATTGTTTTACTATGCTTGCCCTGAGCATACACACCACCTGGAGGACAGGAGGGTGGCCTAGAAACTTCTTGGTAGCTATAGGAGGTCAGCTTGAGATTAGATCTCTCTGTGGACAACTAACAGTGGGAAAAGCAGGCAGTGGTCTACTGCTAGGACATTAAGCCCTTAGACTAAAAGCTTCTCTGTGGGGGAGGCACTCATTCTCTTTCAGGTCCTTGTAGAGCTGACCTCCCTAAGCTCCCTCTTAGGAAAAATGAGCATCCAAATTCCCTCTTGTCAACTGTCCAAGCCTCTTCAAACGCCCACAGTCTAGGTAAACGGGGATTTACCTTTACACTTTGCTATATCAAGGTGGGGGATGATGTGTCACGGTATCATCTAGATGAAAGCCACAGGCTATTTCTGAATCGGATCTTCCCTGGCCGAGCCACAGACCCATGTAAAGGCGAGCTACAAAGGAAAAACTGGGCCACATTCCCTGAGACAGGCATTGCCTTAATCCTGCATGTGGCTCTACTCTGCAGGATGTCCTCACATGTCCTGACAAATGAGGCTTAGAGCACACAACCTGTCTTGGTCCTGGAATTCCCTGAACATTTCTTATTAATAGATCAGAGGTGGGACTCTTGCCCAGCTGAGACCTCCCCACCTGGATGAGAGCGGGGCCCTTTCCACAGAGCGGTGCTACTTACAGTGGCAGGCAGGTCTAGAGGATTAAGGTGCTTGTCCTGCCGGCAGAAAGCAAAAGCACAGAGAGAAGCAGATGGAAGAATGAGTTTTCAGTTTACATTCAGAACAGGACTAGGAAGGAAGAGCTTAATGGAGCAAAGCCATCCACGACAGACAGGACAGACAGAAACACAGATGCCCCTGGTCTCCCACTAGAATACACCAAGGGCTTGGAACCTGATCCCACATGAATTTCAACCTCCTGAGCCCAGGGTACTGACAGGCAACTAAAAAGTCTTTTTTTTGTACAGCACTTGGGCTTTTACCAGAGAAATCTACAAAGTGTGTTGGAAGGGCCCCTAGAAAGACCTAGTTTTTCTAGCCCGGGGTTGCGGACTCGGTCCCCAGTGAAGGCCTTTCAGGAGGCAGCCAAATCAATGATTCTCTCTTATCCTGATGTTTCTATCTTCCTCTTCCTTCCTCTATGAAATCAATGAAAATATAGTTTAAAAACAATGTTGGAAAGACCAAGGGGTCTTTTAATTGGGCCCTTTCATTTGACAGAAAGAGAAACTGAGACCCAAAGAGGTTAAAGCATGTGTCCGGCCAGTGGCAGGCCCTGGACTCATAGGTCAGAGCTTGTTCTCCTGCCCATCCGATTCCTGGTGTCCTCACTTGTGAATCGGGGGTCTGATTTACCTCATGACATCCTTGTGAAGTAAATGGGGAGGATGTGATAGCTCCCACATTACAGGTGAGGAAATCAGGGTTCAGAGAAATAGAGCTGTTTGCATAATGTCACACAGATAATTCGGGAAAAGAAGGAAGTTTAGAACCTGGACCAGAGGTTCCTTACACATGAAACTTTGTGCTAAGTCCCTCTATTCTTGCTTCCTTAAGTAAGGCTCTCATTTGTTTCAATCTCCTTGGACTCAACAGTGACGCCCAGAGGGTATCCTCTCCCTTCTTGAACCTCAGGCGGCAAACTAAGGCCAAATTAGGCTTGTCAGCTATTTGTGTATATAAATAAGGTCTTACTGCGAGACAGCCACATCATTCGTTCACCTACTGTCTGAAGTGGCTTTTGGCTACAGCAGTAAGGATGGAGAGTTGCCACATACAATATGGCCCTCAAAGCAAACGTATTTACCTTCTCCCCTTTAGGGGAATACGTCTGCAGGCTCCTGCTCTGACCTAAGACCCCAGCTCGTTTCCCTGTTCGTTCTCCCCTGGGTCTTCCTTAGCAAAGCCGCTCGATGGGCTCTGATCACAGAGGAACAAGAGAAGGACTCTTGGGAAAATGGCTGGGATTCTGCTGTCTGCAAGAGGTGAGTGGGTGAGAATTCTCTTGGAAGAGCCCAGACGGAAAGCTTGGAAAGGCAGCCACAGACCTGTCGCTTGTCCTCAGGAGCCTTCAGAAAAAGTGCGTTAATCAGGGCAATGGCGTAGGTCTGAATTTCCTGGTTGGAGCTGTGTCAATGAAGAAAGAAGGCAGAGGAGATTAGAAGAATGACCAGCAAGATGATGCTTAGACATGGTTCATAAAATCACTCACCAATTGTAATCAAATAATAACCTGGGGCAAAGTCTCAAAAGCGGTTTTTAAAAGTATTTGTTCAACAAATGCTAATTGGGCTTTTGTTTGAATCAAAGCAGAGGATACAAAAATGATTGGTCCCTGTTCCCAGATAGCTCAGTTTAAAATGGGAGACAAAGTCCAGGTTTGGTACAGTGGGTAGAATGTCAGCCTGAGTACCAAAGGGTCCCAGGTTTGATTCCAGTCAAGGGCACTGGCCGGGATTGCAGGCTCGGTCCCCAGTAAAGGCCTTTCAGAAGGCAGCCAAATCAATGATTCTCTCTCATCCTGATGTTTCTATCTTCCTCTCCCTTCCTCTATGAAATCAATGAAAATATAGTTTAAAAACTTATAAAATGGGAGACAGATAAAAATTTTTAAAAAGTAGAGTATTTTATGTAAATATAATTGCCAAAGGTACACAAACAGAGATTGTTTGGCCCATAGAGAAGAAAGCATCTCATTTTGTCTGGTACCACAGTGGTACAGGGAGATTGGGGAAAACTTCACTTTATCCGAAGGGGCAAGAAGTGTTACAGAGGGTTTTACATAGGAGCATGACATGAGCAGATCTGAATTATGGGAGGAATCTGGCAGTAGTGTGGAAGAAGCAATGAATGGATGAACAAGCAGACCAGCAGCTTGGAATCCAAGCAAAGCAGGAGGAGGACGGGAAGACTTATGCAGACGGAGAGGAGAGAAGCGACAGGGCAGGGAGGCAGGCAGAGTCTCTTACACCTGGAGGTGAGAGATGAGCTGTCCCACAGTGATTTCCTCTGCTATCTTCTGGTACAAACTCTGGCTATTCAAGACCATGCTCTCCAGGATGGCCAGGGACCTCTGAAGGATGGACACGTCCACCATAGGCTGGCTCACGTACCCTGCAATCTGAAGGCAGAGAGGGACAAATCAGTTAGGAAGCCCGGGGCCCATGGGAGCTGGATGGCTTAGGCTTCTGCTGCTAGCCCACAGACTCTCTCCTCTCAAGTGTGTTGACCACATTGGGCAGGTGTCCTGAGCTGGAGAGTGCTATCTGTTTATAGCTACCTAGGCCAATGCCAGGGATTCCCTAGATATGGAAAACTCAATTTCAAATTACAGTATCCAGTCAACTGTATGTCCTCAAAATCTAAGGCTTAATGCTTCATTTTCAAAATAAGGACTCAGGTGTGGAAAAGCTGAGTATAGAAAGCAGAGGATCTTACTGATACTAGGGTATTATTTCCAGGTACTCTTCTCCTGACATGCACTGTGTCCCTATATACACATAGAACAGAGAGACTTGGAGAGGTAAACAGGATCTCAAAGTCTTGTCATTAATCCTCCTCAATCCCCACATGGCCAGGTCTTTTGTTAAAACAGTGTTAGCACTGGGAGGTTCCCAAAGTCCCAAGACAATGGCAGGTCAGGACATATTAGTAACTGATTTTAGTTCAGTTTTTCGAGGTGATGCTGTCCCTTCTTATAAAAGAAAGAAGGGCAAAACGAGAAGTCTTCTCTTTCACCGACTGAGTTCAATCTGACAGTCCACACAGGCTACCTGGCAGATTTGTAAAAAGAAGGCAGACTTATAAATATAAGGCAAATGCAATGAACACTTTTTATCAAAGAGAAGGGAAAGTCAGGAAACAGGTCAAAAGACTCAAGGATGGCACTGGCTGATGCTGGTGTTCTCCCAAGTCTCACCAATACTCCAGTGCCACTCTGGGCAGATTCACTTAGAGAGCCAGGTCATCTCAGTGCAGGTCCTGAGAGTACCGCAGAGTAAGTCTTGCAGGAACCAGGGGAAGACCAGAACTCCAGGATGAAAGTCTGGCCTCAGGGATAGAAAGCAGACCCACACCAGAAGGCAGTATTGACTGCATCTCCACCTTAGCCTGGAGAACAATGGGGTGAGGAAGGAGAGAAAGACAGAATGCGAGAGGCCTCACCTGCTTAATGAAGGTGATGGAAACCATGTCCCAGGAGACAATGCCATGGTCCATGAGTTCTAAGAAGGCAGTCAGGGTGAATGCCAGCATCTCACTGTAGCTGAGGCATGTGCAAAACACACACAAAATACAAAGATTCAAAACCGGGCACAGGTGTGAAGGCAGCCACAATGGAAGGATTTCAGTGTAAGCACTACATGAGTAATCAGTCGATGCAACTCTGAGTCAGCGCTTGCATGCACACCTACACAGATGTGGAGCAGATCTGTCCAGGTATCTACCATTGGAAACATAAAAGCTGCTGGGGATTAGGCATTCCTTCTCCTTGTCACCTCATCTCAGGGAAACAGAATCACTTATCCATTTCCAAGAACAAAACCACAGCAGACCTTTGTCAAACCCCAATACCTTGTGGGCGTACCTAAGGAAGCATATGTACCATGTTTACCTTTAGGCCTGGAGGCAGAAGAGTACACACTTGGGATGTGGGTTCAATTCCTGTTCAGCTATTTGCTAACTGTGCAAATTTTATCTTTTCAAACTTTAATTTCTTCCTCTGTAAAATCATGTTAATCTCACTGGGTTGTGGTGGGGGCAAGATGACAATAAATGCAAAGCCCTTAGCATTGTGCTGATGGAAAATAAGGATGAAAATGTTTTCTTTCCTTTGTCTCCCCTGTTTATACATTAAGTCCTTTATACTTCTGTAGAATGCTTTGTAATTAACGAGCTATACTCCCATGGACAAAGCCTGCTCAGATCCATTTTCATTTACAATGCTCCTCATGACAATACTGGGGCATTATCCCCATTTTAAAGAGGAAGAAGCAAAGGCCCTTCTAATCCTATACTCCTGGGAGACTGCAGCACTCCTATGGAGGAAGCGGGTGTGTCAATGCTGATGACAGTGAAAGCTTTAGGATTTTCTAGGACTTAAACAAATACCCATGATTAGTTGCTTGGTTTGGCTGAAAATTTCAATAGCTGATCTGTCGGCTGAAAGATTTCTGACTCCCTCTCTGCCAGCTTAGACTCCACAGGCTCAGAAGACAAACTAAATATGTTATTCACTGTGGATCATGACAAACCAGTTTCCCACCACATTCATCTCGGCGCTGGAGCAGCGTAAAGATGTTCGTGATGTATCTCAAAGTTCTGGATCTCCTCTGCCCTGTAAAAATGGGTGGCAGGGAGATGGCACATGGATAGGGGGTAACCTATGATAAACACAGAGAAAGGGGTGTGTGTGTGTGTGTGTGTGTGTGTGTGTGTGTGTGGAGGGGAGATACTGGACAGGGAGGGAGGCAGAGGGAGATTAAGAATAGACAGGCACCTGTCCTATCAGATCAATCATTTTCCATAAATGTACAGGTATGTCTTCAGCTGACCTCTCTCTTCCTGAGTTCAGCAGCCCCTACTACTATTCACTTGGCACAGTACCATTTTGTGAGACTATAAGATTTAGGACCACGATAGTGAATTACATCCCTCTGTGTGGACCCTTGTGCTTGGCTCACTGCTCTGGATGCAGACGGTTTTCAAAAACCTCATCTGACTCACTGGAAAGAGAAGAGGATGCCCTGTGGAGAGCAGCAGACTTCCAAAAGCCCCAGACAAGGCCCCAACAGCACTCACTGGGACAAGAGCTTGGTTCCACTTTCCACGAGCCGCGTCAGCACAACAATGCCATCCATGTTGATGAACTCGGTGGCGAAGGTCACGTCGGCAGAGAGCTTGGCCAGCTCCTTCATGGCATCCAGCCGGGTCTCCATGCTGGATGACTGGGTCCTCTCCATCAGCTGGCGTGCGGCCCGGGACTGTGAGAGCAGAAACAAGGTATCTGCCATCTGTTCCTTATGGCAGGTGATTGCTCTGTGGATAGCTCTGCGGCCCTTTCTGTGAACATCCATGCCTGAGGCATAGTTTTTTTTTTTTTTTTTCTCCTCACTGCGTAGAAGCTGTTAAATAAATGTTCACTGGATAAATCGGGGGATTACCGGTATGCCCAGACCAATTCTGTAGTATCTGTATCCTTTGTGTAACACTCTGGTCTATGGATTAAAGGAATTCCCACCCAGGGAATACAAGAGATATCTGGGAGATGACAGTTCACTAACTCTGGCAAGTCACAGAGAAACAGATACTGGTTCCACATAGGGCAGTTTCCTGTTTATTAAAGCCATTAGACAGTGGAAGTGGTTGTCTCTTGAAGTAATAAGCTCTTGGTCACTAGATGCAATCACGGAGAATCCGGACAACCATGCTATAGAAGGGATGCCTGGGTGGAGAATTTAATCTGCTGATGCTGAAGATCCCTTTCAACCTGAAAATGGGGGAAGCCTCACAATTTCTTTTTAAAACTTTCTCTTCAAGTCCACATCATTGTTCCTCAAAGTGATAGTCCTGGGGAAACTTTAAGAATATCAAGGAGCAGGAAGCATCTAATTTCAAAATAGCTTTTTGAAGATGAAGACTGGTGACGAAGCCTCCCAGTGTGGGAACTTTTCCTGGCAGAATGCTTCAAGCTACAGCCACAACCCCTCCTCTTGAGTTCACTGATCTTTCCTTTTGCTAAACTTATTAACTTTACAGTCCATGCCTCACAATTTACCGTTTCATCATTCTCTATTTCTGGTGTGTTCATTTAATGTTCTCAGTTGGAATGAAAGACTCTCAAGAGCAAAAATGCTCCTGTAGTCTTTATTGTTTTTTTACAGAGCTAAGCAAGTGACTGAAAGTTGCCAGCCAAGGAGTCAGGCCTGTTTCATCTCTCTCCCCTGTGCCCCTCCTCTTTGACTATTATAGATGGCCCTTTAACAGCACACTGCTCTCAATGATACAGAAATCCTTCAAGATCTCCACAGCGGGGAAAATGTCCGCCAGGAGAAAAGGTCACAGGAGAGAACAATCTGAAGAGCACTGGACTGCATCACACTTAGAAACTTCCAACTCCAAATGTTAATTTCCCTCTTGAGACAGCATGTCTGGGCGGCTGCCTCCTGCTCCAGAGAGGTGTGCTTCTGGGAAAGTCAAATGCTCCATACCAGACCTCTGTAGGATGCTTCATGAGTCTATAAAAGTGAGTAACTCCAAGACTGTCATATTAAATTAGCAGAGTTAAGGGGGGAATAACGAAGTCCTTAAGATGAGTTCAGGAAAAGAGAGGGAAGCAGAAGAATGGGCTGATAAGAGTGCTGGCTGGAGTCTGACAGACCTGTAGCATTGTGACATGTGACAACTCTCTAAGCTTAGTTTCTTTGTCTGCCAAATGAGGCTGTCAAGAGTGCCCATCTCATTGGGTGTTTGTCAGGATTAAAAGATATAACCTATGCAAAGTATTTAGCAAAACATGGGTGTTTAAGAAATGTTGGCAGTTATTACTTCAAACCTCCCGTTCTTGTAGACAAACAAGTCTCTCTCTCTCTCAAGAAAACAGGCGTCCTTAATTTTCTGGTGGCCTTTCCGCAAATATACCTAAGCTACCCCGCATCAACTGTCCTCCTCTTGGGCTGAGCAGCCAGGGTGCATCCCCCCACCTGGGCTTTGGCTTCCTCCTGTTCTGACCCACAAGGGTCCTGTTCCATTCATTGCCCCCTCTTTCTGCACTGTCAGCCTTCCTCTTGTCCATCTTAACAAGATTTTCAAGGACACACAAAAAGATGCAACATTAGTTAACAACTGTGAAGAGTTGGAGGAGGTGAAGAACTGGGTAGATGAGGCAGGGTAGTAGAGGGAAGACCTTTCATTGTATTTTCATGAAAATTTGTTGATTTTTTTAAACACTTGAATGTTTTACCTCTTTCTAAAGAGCACATCTTTTGCCCTCCACATTTCTGAGTTACTACCATCTCCACCTATTTCCTTCTATAACCAAGCTTCTTAGTAATATGGTAAACTGGAGGTTCTCACTTTTTCACTTCTTTTTATCAACCCATGACAATCTGGATGTCACACCACAAAAACAGTTTGCAGGAAGCTCACCATGACTGACTGACATAACAGGTTAACAGCCAGCCTTTTGGTTCTGTTTATCTCTCTGCTCCTTGGGGACACCTCACTCTGTCCTGACACTGCTGCCCTCAGCTACTGAGTCTTTTCATGCTCCTGGTTTTCTTCCTGCCCTTCTGGTTGCTCCCTTAGTTGCCATTGAAGGCTGCTCTTGCAGAAAACAGGGATCATCCTGGATTCTCCCCTTTCCTTCCACATCCAGTATGTTACCATGTTTATCCAGTTTACCGCTAAATTTTTCGTCTCCATTGCCATTTGCTTTCAAGGGCTGTTAACATTCCTCATTAGTTTCTTAGAGATTCCGCCTGCCACCAACCTTTCTTTTCTTGTCCGAACTTCCACCCTCTGACTAAAGAGATCTTTCTAAAATATAAATCTAAACGTAATATAACTTCCTGCCCAAAATCTTTCAGTGTTTCCACCTTCCCTTCTAGACAAAATCCAAACCCATAAGCAGACCACCAAGGACTCCAGTATCTGGTTTCTCACTGATGGCCACAGGCCCTAGCCATCCTGCATCCCGCTTCCCCAGACCAAGTACGTCTCTCTGCTTGGGACACTTCTCATTTTCTTCTTTCTTCAGCTTTTCGTGCTCAGTCTTCAACATTCAAGCTATGTGTTCCCTTCTCTGAGAAGCCTCCGGTTGAGTCAAGTGGTCCCTTTTCTGAGTTCCTATAATTCCTTAAGCAACTTTCCATCAAGACCCTTGAGAAAGGCCATATATTGTATTTGTTGGTTTAATCTCAAGTAGACTGTGAGGGCAAGGACTGACTTGTTAATCTCCACAGTCTTAGTTTCTAGAACAGAGTCGGGCCCAGGATAGATACTCATACATGTTTGTTAAATAAATTAATTCCTAAGGAAAGCAGAGTACCTACCGGGGAGATAGCCAGCTGTAAGATTGTCCCATTCTTAATGTCACTGCGAGTCTGAGAACAAAGAGAAAAAAAGAGTAACTAAAATAAAATATTAAAATTGTACAAGCTGTTGAGTCAACAAGAACTTTCTGTCATTTCCAAAGGAGTTGGAACAGAGACTCTTCAGTCTGGCCCTCTTCTCCTGCTGCTTGTTTCTTGGCACAGAATGTCTAAGGTCTTTTTCAAGCCCTGGGCTCCCGGGAAGTAAAACCATGGTGTTCCAGCCAGGAGTGGAGAACAAGGGCTGGCGCTCCCTGGTCTGCCAGGAAGCAGCTTTCCCCAGTGAGTGGAAGCTCCCTGGTGGGAGTAAGGTGAACGGCATGGTCTCCTTGGGTGGTGCACTGCAAAGCAAGGCCTATATTGATTTTCGTCTCCTCGTACTGACCTGTTCAGTGATGTAGAGCTGGGGCCCGTCTGCATACCGAAGGGTGTAATACTCAGGGTTTGGCAATGACCACCTGTGTAAAGAGAAAAATAGTACAGCCTATTTGGCTACCCCTCTGGGCCTATCTAGAAGGTGCAAATAAATAATTTTAGTAGAGATGCTCAAGGGGTCCGATGGCATATTATATTTAAAGGACTGGGGACAAAAATCAAAGCTTTAGGTTGAGATGTTGAAAAATAACCTCCTCAAGGTTACAAATAACTTTGTAAGATTGACAGCACAAAAGGAGATACACATAATTCATCATGGATCTCAGATCCCACCAGGACCTCAGGCAGGGCATTCCTGGACTTAAAGGGAAAACTAAAGATTGATAAGAGGTCTAAGGGTCATCCTCATCAGCTATCCTTCCTTTGTAAGGCAACGATGCACAAAGTCCATACTGGGGATCTGACTAACTGGAGACCCTTCAGCAGAAGACCTGTCAAGACCTGGTAGTGCTCCTTTAGTCTCTAGCTTACCAGCATCCAAAACAAGGGAGTTTCAACTTACCCATCACAAACTTCCTTGATGATGGATGCCAGGGGCCGTTTCTGAAAGAAAGAGAGGGGTCATCCTTCAACCAGATCCTCCTTGTGCCACGGTTCTGACCAGGGGCTGCCAAGCAGGATTAACCTGGGGTCTGAGCATGGACTTCTCCCTTGACAGCTGGTATTGAGAGGCAGCCTCTCCCAAGCCTTGGTGACCAACCTTCCGTAGGGTGGGACAGGCCTCAGCTCTCCTCAGGCAGGTTCTTACTCCTGATGCCAGTGGTCCTCAGCCCTAAAGACATCCCCTGCCACACACTTCCCAGATCCCTCTGCTCGCATCACTGTTTGTCATTTCAGGAGCTTACCTGGTCGATTTCAAGGAGCTGGGCATTAGCACCTGGCCACTCAATGGCCACTTTGACAATATCTGATGGTGGTGGCATTGTTCCCAATGGGCCCTACTTCTCTAAGATGCACACACAGATACAGCTGCCTGGGGAGAAGGAATCAGAAAGAAGGAAAAAGTCAGAGTTTCTTTCACTTTTCACCCTTGTAAGATATTTTGGAAATCTAGAAGACAGACATTGTCCAAAGGCCCAACTACTACACATGGACCACTTAGTTTGAATTTTTCTAGATCACACCACAATCTCTCCTTGGGCTTTTTGTCTCTTTGGATTAAATCAGCAAGTAGAAATGGCACAATCCTATCTATCAACTGCAGATCAGCCAGTAGGAAGATCTGCCAATGTGGCACTTCAGTTTAAGGGGGAAGAGTACTCTGTGGCAGAAGAACACATTTACTGCAAATTCCTGTCTTGGGACTGTGAGAGGGAGAAGCATATGCTCTGAGACGGGTAAGAACAGGCGCCGCCTTCTCTCGCTTGGGCAGTTAGCTGAAGGAGCCAGCCCATTTGTGTTGTGCAGGCAATCCAGGAAAATCCCAGCACCAGCAGGGCCCGGCCACATGCTCTTTTGCCTCCTCCCTGGTTATTGCTGCCACTCCTTCCCCCTCAAAGGACACAATGTGGAGCCTCCTCTGTGTGGGATGATGCAGAGTTCAGAATATGGGGAAGAGAAAGAAGACAGGAAATGCTATTTTAGTCGCTATTGCCAAGGGCAAGAGCTGCTGAGAACTCAAGCGTAGGGAGGTGAGGATACCCTCACACAGAGCCCTCTAGAGAAGGACAAGGTTTTGGAAGTAACTCTGGCCCCCTCCCCGACTTCTCTCCAAAACAAAAGAAAATAAATCATTTTGAACAAGTCTGGAAGATGCGCCCATGTGACTGATATCCTAGGCAACTCTGCTAGCTTAGTGGTATTCCAAGCAGCAGCTAAAGCATTCTCTCTCCAAGGTCTGACGAAGGGAAGTCACTAGACTAACAGATCGTTTCATGTGTATTCACACTCCTCGCCTGTAAGTTCAGGAGAGGCCTTTCTCTTAATGAAAAGACCCTCCTGCCCCCCCAGGTTTAGTCCCTCACCCGTAATCCACTCTTCAGTGATGGAGACGGCCTGCCTCCCCTGGAACATAGCGCAGAGCTGCTGCTGAGCTGTAGTTCCTGTATGCTATCCGTTTTCCAGCCCGAACACAAAGGGCAGTTCTCCCAGCCTCGTGAGCATGAAGAGTCCTGTCCCCACAAGAGGAAAGAGTCCTGTCCTCACAAGAGGAAAGCTTTCATGACCGTTTCCTGACCAGGGTGGGCTGCTTCAGAAGTCAATCGTCACAAATACAAGCATTTCAAGAACAAGACAATGTAAAAAAAATGGTTTCAAGGTGCTTTCACTTAGTTTGCTGAGTCCTCCCAGCAGCCAAATGAAGTAGGCAGAGTAGAATTACTACCTCCCTGTGAAGATGACAAAATGATAAGTAGCCAAGGGGACAGAAGTTGGAGCTAACTTTGGCCAATGCTCTACCTCGCACCTCCCTCCAAGATAGCCTGAATTCCTGTTCACAGCAACTAAATCAAGCCTAAAGGGACTTTAGGAGGCTGGCCTGATGGCCCCTAAAGCTTCCACAACTTCGGCAGCTCCGAGCAGAATTTCTCACGTATAATTTTTATGTGCCTTAGACATACAACAAACCTCTGAATAGAAACTGTCCCCATGAGAATAACTCGTGGTTGAAATGCTGTGCTCCAGTGACACAGCAAAGCAGGGGCGGTACCACGAATATGTGGGCGCTAGGGCAGTCATCCTACCCTTATCAGTAAATCTGTTCTAATTAGGGGTGTGAGTCAGTTGTGCGATAATTTTAGAAAACTGAGATGTCATTATGTACATACAATAAAATGCATAGAGCTTCTATGTATAGTTCTATTATATGTATTCCTATTATGTATATGTTTCTATAATGTAAATATTTTATATATATAATGGAAATACCCACATCTCCCTAACCTAAAACAAGACTTTGAACATTTTCATTACCCCAGAAAATTCCCTCCATCATTCCCTCCTATCTCCCAGCCCTCTGAGAGGCAACTTCTTTCTGACTTCTGTCACTTTGCCTGTGTTTATACTTGATATACATGGAACGGAACAGCATGCCTTCTTAGAACATTTGTTACTTAGTTCATTTTTCCTTATTTTTAAAATAAGTACACAGCATAGGGACAAGGGGAAGAGCAGCTTGCTGGGATGGCTTTCCCTACTGAAGCAGCAACTGGATTTAGAGCCAAAGGACTCAGCACCAATCCCAGTCCCATCACTTAAGTGTCTAGGTGATGTGCACAAGTCTCTTCTATCCAAGTCTCAGTTTTTGTTTTTTTCTACTATGAGATGTGAGTGTGAAACCAAAGATGTTTAAGATGCCTTCTAAGTCTAAAAGTCCGTGATTCTAAAGTGAACTTAAAACTTTGAATGCAGATTGCCATTTCAAAGTCCTTACCGAAAGAAGCTATAACCTTATTTCAATGGTGCTGCTAAGAAACAAATAGTATTTTGGGAACTCCTTTCCAGATACTGTTGTTAGAGATAAACAAGCTAAAGCTCACTAATTTACAATTCCACTTTACTTCGACCCCATATGGCATTTCCTAGGTCAACTAACTGTCCCTTTCTTTCTTTTTTTCTTCTTTTTAAAAATATATTTTATTTATTTATTTTTTAATATATTTTATTGATTTTTCACAGAGAGGAAGACAGAGGGATAGAGAGTTAGAAACATCGATGAGAGAGAATCATCGATCAGCTGCCTCTTGCACACCCCCTCCTTGGGATGTGCCCGCAACCAAGGCACATGCCCTTGACCGGAATCGAACCAGGGACCCTTCAGTCCGCAGGCTGATGCTCTACCCACTGAGCCAAACCGGTTTCAGCCTAACTGTCCCTTTCTTTGTTCAAGTTAGCCCTGAGTGATTCCAAACTGTTCCAAGAATTTATATCCATTTTAAAGCTTGGAGACTTGCAACCACTAAGACTACTATAAACCCCCATTCTCAGCAACTCTGCCCTTTCCCACAAAACCCAGGCAGCCCGGTGTGTTGAATGACCTCTTCCCAACTATGCCATAGCTGATGGTACCAAGGTGAACACTCAACTTTAGCTGGACTAGTCCAGTTCTTTCTTTTGAACTTACAGACACAGGCCAAAAGGGAGTTGGATGGCAATGACCCTGGAACAGAAAGATCACAGTCAGCTTTAGAACAGGAATCATGGCAGGCCCAGGCCATTCGTAAGCCAAAGGTACAGAGAAGCAACCCCCTGGCCCTGCAGAGGGAGCTGCTCTGCAGAAAGAATCCAGAAATGTGCAGACGATTGGAGGCCAGAAACCAGAAGCCACAAAGTCCCCGAAAGAGATGGAAGAGGCCACTGCCTGAGGACTTTTGAGATCCCATGGCTACACCTCCTACACTTGTACTGGAAATTCCCTTGTATCATGCCAATAAAACTTTAAATTAAACTACCTGCATTTCTGTTCATTACAGCTAAAAAGCCTAAGACTAAGATTGACCCAAGCTTTGAAGCAACTCTAATATGGAGATATGAACAGACCGCAGCATAACAGGCATAAGATGATGCACCAAGAAGGCCCTTAATTAACATTGGCTGAATTAATGAAGAGCAGAACCCACTTATTTAAAACAGAGCAATTATATGGTGACTTTACAGCAATCATCTGTACGTAACAGTTATGTGTAGATGCCTCTGTATAGTCGATCACTCATTCTATAGCATTTTTATAGCTGATGCTCATAAAAACCCTGAAATCACCCCTATTTTACAGGTGAGGCTCTTGGAGTTCCGAGGAGTTGAGAAACTTGTCTTCCATACACCTCCACCTCAGAACTGGATCACAAGGCTGGGTCTTAGGACTTCAAAATTCGTTCTCTTCCCTCTACGTAAGAATTCCTTTGATGATAACGTTACATAACATAGTGCTATGGTACTATTCTCAGGGCTAAATATTAACTCATTTAATCCACACAGCAACCCTGTATGGTACATTATTACCCTTATTTACAGATAAGAAAATGGAGGCACAGAAAAATTAAGTTCCATGCTCAGTGTCACAGCTAGGAAGTGGTACAGTCAGAATTTGGTCCAAGGCAGACTGGTATTGTTTGAAAGCCATGTGAATAAAGACTGTATCTGGCCCATAGCAAGTACTCACGGGAGAATTCTAGTTTGCTATACCTGAAGCTAGAATACACTGAAGCTAAGAGACCCACAAAACAACAACTCACTAATTTAACAGATAATGGTACTCCACCATCTAAACTAGTTGGTCCTGCACAATCCAGCCAGATCTCCCTGGACTACTTGCTATTTTTATGAGGTAGGTCATGTTCCTTCATTTCTTCTGTACCTTTTCACATGCTCTTCCTTCCTTAACTGTCAAATGAACTCCTAGTCAAGCTTCAAAGCTCAGCTCAAATGTCACTTCTTCTCTGTACCATTCTTATGTTTCCTCACCTTTCCTTAGCAAAACAAAATGGGATTTACACCTCTCTTTTTCACTAGCTCCTCCGGTGGTCTCACCAGGCATATATTAATAGTTGTGGTTCAGTGAGTACTCATGTCTGCTTAAATCCTCCAGCCCTGGCTTCAACACCTATGCACTAGCTCTAAATGGAAAGGAACTGGCATGAATTGTCTTAGTTGCCTGATATTCCCATCATGTCTTACAACCTCCCAACTACACCGTATTTCCATCGTTTAAAGTTTTGTTTTCATATCTAACATTACACTGAGTTTCACTAGAGACCCAGATTTAGTACCCTGACTCTAGTTAAAAGAAAGGGGGAAATATCCCTCTGCTTTTCTCCTTATAGAAACATCGGTAAATAGGAGAATAGAAGTAATAACATTCTCCAGACCATTTTCCCAGGATAAAGGATCTCCTTGTGGGGCACTCTTCCAGCACTTGTTTGCTTACTCTTTTCATTTTCATTCTAGAAAGGAAGTGGAAATTAGGTGGAAGCAATTCAATAACATTGCA